CAATAGAGGTAAAGTGTACACTGCGTTCTCCTTATGGTAAATGCATTTCACCTATGTGATACAATATTTTCTACCACTGACAGGAATTGTAAGCAAATGCTCTTGTGATTCTCGACCGCTCTAAAAATTAATATAAACAGTAAAATATCCCTCAAGCTAATCTTAGGACCATTAAATATTGCCGCTTAAGTGAAGTGTCCGCTAGAGAGGTTCTCAAAGCGTGTTTTCACCTCCGGACCTAGAAAATGTGCCCGCTCTGAAGAGTCGTTAGTTCAAGAGAGGTTTCACTGTATTAATGTGCTAAGTAAATTATTAGTTTATTTTGTTAAAATAAACTAAAGTTAAACTATCGTTGTATCGTATCTCGTAGGTAAAGACTGAGGAGGAAGTCTAATCACGTGATAAGGCGAGTTGACAATACATCTCTTAAAGATACATTAAACCTCTAAATTATTCTACACTTTGAGCGAAAGGTAAGACAATAAAGTCGCAGACGCTGGTGCTTATTACTGGAATCATATTATACTATAATTTTTTTTTCAAACCGTTAAAAATTGTCATCTTCCGCTTCTGCGAATTTATTTTTTATATAATATATCTACAATTATATATATATATATATATATATATATATATATATATATATATATATATATATATATGTCTACGATATTTTTTGTACGTATTTTCTTAAATTATCAACGAGGTTAACCTAATAGAAGAAACATTTTAAAACTGTAGAAAATTAACAATTGTCGTGATATTGGAGATCAGCAACCTTTCATTAAACTATTGTGACCTGCTAGATATCCGTTAGAGATTAATATTCGAAACGACGTTCTCATAAGAAACCCGTGATATCACCTACGAGGTAATGCATTTATGTGAAAAAGTCTAGATATGTCGCAGGCGGGAAGTCGTAGTAAATGGTTTCATTTTGTAGAAGAAATCGCGGGAAGGAATCCAAGACTGTTAACCATAGTATCGAAGAGTAATTTAAATCATTTGGGAAAATTTGAGTAAACGTGTTCCAACACTCCGAATTGAATTGGAGTCAAACGTGTCACTTTAGATGTTATGATGAATGAGAACATAACGTGCTACCCACACACGAGGGACAGTATTAATTGAGTCGATTATTTCAGTGTTAAAACGCTTTTATAGTTGGAAACGTGTGCAGAATATTGTTTGTGGTGTGTGGGTTGCATGAAACATGTTGTGAAAGTAAAAAGGACGAAAACACATAATTTATCTTTATCCGATTATCAAGAAACACTCCTACGAAAGCGTTGTTCATCGCGTTGAAAATGTTTCTTATTGATTGTGGTTTTTCAACAACCTACATGGTATCCCAAACTCCTGCAAAACATTTCTTCGTAAACTCACTTGGGCCTATGTTTTTGGTTGCGAATATTCCAAACATATATTGTATGAAGCGCCATGGTTTTACTCTTTTTGTATTGTCTGGTATTTCTAAACAAATAGCATTTGTTAAATATTGCGTATTTTGTATTAATATTGTTAATTGATTGGTTATCACGTGTTACCTGGCGCATCAACGGCTAAGGTCATTTTTCCGTAACTGTAGTGCACATTTTCCTCGTTTTCCTCGGCTTGTTAGGTTTCTCTAAACAGGTGTCTTCTACAAGCCAGGTGCCGCCCCCTCCTGGAGGCTCTAAGCTCCCGACTGGTCTCCCGAGATGTGTGATAGGGTAGTGCATGTGAATAAGTAAGGGGTAAAGCTAGAACAAGGAAGAGGAAGAAAAGATAGCGCGGCCGGTGGCCGTTTGTTCGGGTACTGCTAAAGCATTCTCGTCGATTTGACCGAAGAAACCACGGGAAAGTGCCAATCGGAGCAACCGATCGTTAGAACTGTCCTCCAGACAGGGGCTGAATTCTATCCAGTTATCTACCTAATATCGAAAATCCTGCCACTGTCGAGAGTCGAACCCTAGGACCTCCGGTCAGAGGCACCTCAGTGATATCAATTGAAGGCCTGAGGCACCTAGCAAGAGGTTATGTGTGGAAAATCAAGCCTTTCAATATTACTTTTATGAAGAGTTTCATATTAATTTAGTACACATTATGTAATTTATTATTGTATTGTAAGCGTCTGTAAAAATGAAAATGTTTACTTTCGCCGAATATAATCGAATAATTGGTTAGGAATAGTTCCGGGAACATGCGAAAGCCCAGTGCTGAATTTCGCTTGCCTCCTGAGAGGTAGACCGCCCGCACTACACTGCGCGAATCGTGAGCGGATGTATGACCCCGCGCACGGGGAGGGTACAGCGGCTGCGCTCGCCCAGCGACAACAGTGACAGCAGCTGCACCGCATAACACGCGCCCGACACATCCTTTGCGTACCTCCTGCGCAACTGGTTCGCATACCGCTGCATACACAGTTCCTTCTTCAATAGTTGCATGGAAGCTGACACGTCGCAACTTTCCACAAATGAATGCGGTTCATTGTTCCTACTGTGTACATACTGTTTTCACGCAGATCCGGAGACAGCAGTATACACGAAGGTGCTTTCTGCGTAGCGGTGTCAAAATCAGGTTTTGTCCTCGACTGGTGTCTTTTCGGAAACGGTGCATTGAGAATCGCCCGACGCGGTACCAAATCATAAATAACATTTAGAACCATTCGCGTTTTTGCGACGTTGCTTCGTGACCTCATAACAAAACAAAAATCGTGCTTTCGAACGCCGTTATTGCTACAAAGCTTTCACTTTTCATTGTTAAAAATATTTTCCAGGCAGATGCTAATAATTTATAGGAGCTGCAATAAAAAACCGCAACACTTAAAATTCTACATCGAGAACAAAAACGATTTCGCTATGCCCATACACAAGTCGGGCCGCAAGAAATCCATCGGAACCTAGCAGTTCGCATCGGAGACGCGGGCGGGGCGAGGAGAGACGGCGCGGCGCGGGTCTGCTCCTTCTGGAGCGCTTCTGATTCATGGGCCGGCGACAGGCGAGGCCTGCGAACCCCGCTCTTCCCCCTCCCTCAACCCCACTCCGTTCTTCCCTGCCCCCGCCGCGACCCGCCTGCACTCCGGACGACCAGGAACGTGTGAAATAAATTTCTTCCCGAAATATTAGGCAGTAGCCGCTTGAACGAGTGAATCGGCGCCGCGACCCGACGCAGCCCCGGGGGCGGGAGGACGGGAATTGTGTCGTTATGACCTAGGAGTAATGTGTGTTTCTGGTGTAAAGCGTTCCTAGCGCACGCATTGTGCGTTGTGCACTCGTGCGGGCTGCCGCGCCCCCGGCCAGAGCAGTAACTAACGCTTTGGGCGTAGGGGACGCCGGGAAGGAAATCCAACTGTCTCGCGAGCCACGGCTATCAGTCCATGGAATTGCTCCAACTGTCACTCGTGCATAAAATATGTAAAGATTTTCTTTATTGAATACCGTTGTAAGTTCCCGAAACAGTTGCATAAACCGCTCGATATTTTACTCAAAAATTCGGAAGGATATATTACCTTTCGCATTAAGTTCATGTCGCCAGGGCTTGATGTTGATTATATAACAATTGAGAAACGCTACTTTGTACTGCTTCGCCTAGTGCGTACTTGCATAGTAAAAATAAATATTTTAATGCTGCATCGGAAAGTGACGATTTTTCGTCCGAAAAACCAGTATTTTGGGGATCTGATATAAAAAAAGTGGATGAATCTTGTTCTAATGTAGAAATATGTAGTAAATTACTTCTAACACGTTGTGTAGTCAGAATCCATGTTTTGAGGATCCTTGGTACCGAACAATTAGTGTGCGGCAAAATGTCCGTCACTCTCTCCGCCCACCTCTACGTTCTACTAACAGAGGTAGTAAAGGCTGGCGCCTAAATCATTCTGGCAATTTTTCTCCAGAATTGATATTCCCGGATCGATCCCGAAGCCATACGATTTTGAAAGAAATATTTTGGTTTTTGCGAATACTTTTCATGAAACCTTAAAATATGTTCAAATTTTTCGTAACATGGCTTGAAATTATTTTATTCAATTTATTCCTTGGTTAGAGCAAAGGACGCTTAAAATAGCGCAGATCTCATTTTCGTTAAATTCTTAGAATGTTGGGAAATTCTAAACGTTGAATGTTTTCCTTCAGGCTTCCTTCAATTACAATATTGAAGTTTGAGGTTTCTTTCTGTAATGACATTTATTCTTCGGTGGTCTTGAAATAAGATCAGGTACAATGTTTCGAAAATATGAGTATTTTTCACGTAATGTTGCGTGAATACACGCAATTTTTAAACATGTTCTTAAAATCAGTTAAAACTTGTTTCTTTCTTCCTCGAATAGAGCTTATTGCACATATTAAAAGGCGCGGATTCCCGTTCTTTGAAGTAAGTATTTTTGAAAATTCTAAAAAAATGTAACATTGCAAATTAAAATATTGATAAATTATTTTTCTTAATGAAATCTATTCTAAAAAATAGATATTTTAGTAAGGTAATGTACAATTTAAAAATAAACGAGCAGTTTTCACGTAATTTTTGTTTCAAACCAACGCTTATAAAAAATCTAAAAACTGCTCCAATTTTCTCCTGGGATAGAGCAAGGCGCATATTTTATTTTCGTCGAATTCTCTCAATTTCCAAAAATTAGTAAGTTAGAAATATTGTGAGAAACTACAACGCTGTTGCAGCACAATGTTCTTCCTCAATAAATCTGTGAATACGTAATAATGTTTAATGAATTGTATACGAACTGAGACGTGACATACTCTGCGATCAAATGGACAAGAGAAATAATATTAAGTGCTTATAATTACTGTTCGTAATTTTGCATGTTAATAATTAGATAAGATTTTACATTTTTCTTAATCTTACATAATTCCTTAGTCTTCCGGAGCATATGACATGGTGAGGGGAGGGGATTGCTGAGTTCCCGATGGTGTAAGAAACCTCAATGTACTCCTCCTCCCCCCCCCCCGCGTCAGTTCTCTTTTGCTCCAGATTTGAAGAAGCACCTTTTTTTCTCTCTGTTACAGGAACGATATAAGAAGCCCGTCATATCCGTGTGCTGTTGGCACGTCCACTGCGAGGAGTGCTGGCTACATACACTGGTAATGTTGGCTGGCCGGCCGCAACCCCGGGGTGGCGAGCGCGCCTCGGCCCCGGGCGCCGTGGCGGTGACGTTGACCATTGTTTTGGGTGGCTTCCTCAGGTTCAAGTAGACCTCTCACGCACAAGCGACGACGCTGTTGCCAGTGCCGGGCGTTCCTTGCGCGCTTAACGCATGTGTGCCAGTCTGCTCATAGTTGGTTGCCTCTCAGCAAGCCCATCTAACAATAGGCAAAGCAGTACATCACTTTAAGCGATTATTCTTTACACAATGATCTTGCGAAGTATATCAGATAATTCAAGATCCGGGAATGATATAACATATTTTTGATTTTTTGCTTGTATTCACATTATGCCCGGTTAGGAAATAGCACATCTTGCATTTCAAGATATTCCTTATTTGTCTTGTGCTTCTCCGGCGAAATATGTGACGTTGTGTATGCGATTAATATTTATGTGTGATTGTAAAGCATTGTCTGTATAGAACATCAAGGAAATTTACAACATACCCAAAGAAAGTTCCAACTTCGAAATGAACTGCGGCAACGTGCCAATATAGATTGCGATTTCAAGAGGCTTGTAGAAATCTGCGAGTACGCAATACGCTGCGCAAGAGGGCGATGCACGAGTGAATCGCTTGCAATTGAATGCTGCTTCGGATCCGGCCGGCTCCCATTAACGGAGCCCCGTCGGAGCAAATCCAAAATGCGCGGTATGGTCAGGGAAGAGTTCCTACTGAGCGCCTTAGTATTCTTCACCGTATGCTCGACACACTGACAAGTAAAAAGTAATCCCTTCGGACCAAGCCCAATACATCACGAACCATCGTAAGGGCCGCCGGCATCCTAAGACACCCCGACTTTTCAGCGCAGCCAGAACAGCCTATTTCTACTTCTCAGGTTCTTGTACACAAGATATCGACATCGTTTGGACCTACATTTCGCATCGTACGTTTCAGCATCCATATGCGTCTGGACATCGTAAGAAAAAAACTTGGAATGAATACTCCGGATGTTTAAAAGGGAAAAGCCGCCACGCAAGCTTCTTCACAGAGAGAATCGCCTGCGAATATTTTCAGCGTCTTTAAAAAGAAAACAAAGAGCTATGTATTTTGGATGCATTAAGGATCGATCACTGTTTTTGAATATTGCTTTGTAGACAACTTTATTTCCAGTTAATTTAACCCAGGAGAGCTGGAAGGATGAATGTCCACGTGAGTGCCATTATTCAGGCTAATTTGTTTTTCTGCGGAGACAACAGCGATCATTTATTCGTGATACCTTAGGCACGAAAAGAATACGACCACGACGAAATGCATCTCGTTATTATAAATATCATTTCGATTCGCAAGAGTTTTTGTATTTTGTAATGATCCAATTTACAGTCATTAAATGTGTGACAAATGCTAATGAAATACGTAGAAAACTTGGCCAAAAGCACGATGTTTCTCGCAAGTGATAGAAATATCAAGGAAACTAAAGTTTCAAAATTAGAAAAAGTATATGAATTTAATCGTTGGAATAAAAAGAACAAAAACTTGTAGCACGTTTTTAATTTTATCCTTTGAGAATTGTAAATTAATTGAACTGTGAAGACTTCAAGTGACATTTAATGTCGTGCTATGGTTTTTGACTTTTCTGCACATCGGTCACAAATGTAACGCACGTAAAAAAGTGGATTGCGAGAATGGGAAAGCGCCCAAGTGTTGGACGCGCTTCTTCCCGCGCCCAGCGCGGAGTCTCCTGAAGTGCGTGGGGGCACTTGGCTTGAGCAACTTGCGCGGCGGTGCGCGAACGCATCGCCCGTAATGAGATGAGGGGCTGAGCGCTGCGGGCCGTGTGTTGTGGTTTTGTTATTAGGGCTCTTCGCCTCAGGAGGGGGATTTCCTGTGGATGATGTACGGATCCTACACCGACGGACAACGCTGCAAATAGAACCACCGGCTACGATCCCAAACGGCGTGTTGTTTGACTTGAACTGAAGCGACAGTGGCAAATTCTTTCCGATACGAAGGAAGTGCTCCGAATTGATTGATTATACCAAATAGAAGTTATCAAAAGTTATACCGAATAGATGATTACCTGTTAGGGGAGGAATTCAAACAAGAGTCATTATTAATATTTTAAATTCTGAAAGTGAGGTAATACGATCATCCAACGAGTATTTTTTGGTTTGTACCATAGCAACAGTGGCACATCGGTTCCGGCACAAGTAAGCTGAAAGGATAATAATGACGAGAATGATACGAAATAGATTATTAAATCATCCCCAGGGAACTCGACCTATCATCATAAATATATTTTAAATTAAGAAAGCAAGATAAATGGAATTCTCAAAATATGGCTATGTTGAGATAAAATTTGATTAGGCGTTATAATAGATATTATTCATAAATGCAGGGAGTATAATTTTATATTTTAGAAGAAATACACCAATAAAGTCGGTGAGTTCGTAATGACTAACTACTTAAAATTAAAACATTGGTTTTGTCTGTAACGCGGTAATTAAAATTCAAGAAGTTTACGAGATTGAAGTTTGAGTGTATGGAGAAATGTTGAAAAAAAAATAGTAAGATATTAAAACAAATGTTCAGATAATAAAAGCAATATTTGGGAAACACAGTGAACAGAAAGAATGTCTCGCCAGGAAATGAAATTAGTATCTGTGTTTGAACTCTTTTTTAACAAAGAGTTAAATGTTTCGTTTGTGAGCAAAGAGTTAAGTTTATGATACTTACCAAATTCTAGAAATCGCCATTTTGACGACCTTGATAAAAACTACGAAATATCTCAGAATTCGTCTATTCGAACATAGGATGTAAGTAAAAGAGGAAACAGAACGTACGACAAAAAATCCTTAAAAGGAAATTAATTTAATACACGAAATGAGAAATATTATCCTGGGTGAAAAGGTGATACTATTTTCTATTACAAAAATATTAAGTGAAATCAATTATAAAATTATATAATTTTCTGAATGACGTGTTTGAAGTGGTGTATGAAATCGCTTGCAATAAATTAATAAATCATTCTCAAGTAGTATTTCTGAAATATAAATCGAAGTAAAAGTTTTGAAATATGATTTAAGTGTCTAAATACTTGTCATTATTGTTGTATCAACAATGAGAAAGAAAAAAATGTTATGTCTATTGCATCAAGAATGTTGAAGATCAATGTAAATGCTATACATATGAATAACCTACAAGACTGCCATAAACTAAAAAATTCTTTCTATATCTGACCGTAACGAAACTAGGAAATTCTATAAATATTGAATACACGGTTGGCAATTCTGGACGTTTTACTACTTATTTTTTAATTCACTTCCTTAAAAATATTGAGAATAAGAACAATGTAGCCATCTACTAAATTATTGACATAGGTCGTATTATGAGTATCATTATGAGTTGTATTAAACAATTGAAGATCTAATCGAAAACGTTAGGACTATAAGACAAGTCACGACCTTTAAAAAAATATATCCATAGAATCAGAACATTACGCCAAATTTCACACAATCTGCAGCAGCCTCATTAACGGAGTTACCGTAGTTTAGTATGACCCATTAACACCAAATGTGTTACGCCTAATTTATACAGAATTTTTGGAAACAAAAAGAATCACTTTCTCATTGGGTGCAGTGTGTTGCAAAAGTTAAAAGGCATATCGGAACAAAATTAAAAATCTGAAACACCTCGAATGTCTCGAGTACGTGTTAGTTTGACAGAAAGCTTCACAAAAGCATGTCTCCCATTTAAGATTATTGAATGGCTAAATGTTAAAAAAATGCCACATTTTATTGATATTTTATAAATGTTTTGAAGTCTGCAAGTTAATGTTACGAAACATATGTATATGAATTAAAATTGACCCAGCAATTTTGGAAATATCGCCAAATGCTCTTGATTTCAAATCCATGGATCAGCAAATCCCAAATGCCTGCAAGGCCCGAATAAGAGATGAGATGTGCTCCGCCTTGCGGCCGAAGTTCATCACTCCACCGCACTTGTGCTGCGTCTTCTGCTTCAAAGCTGCAGCGGTAACAGGGCGAAGAGCAGCAATTGGACTTGGAGACTCCGTCCTTATTCCACGGGTCGGCAGCCCTTGGCCCTGGTCACCGCCGCGGCCTCCTGGTCGTCGTCATCATCATCGTCGTCGTCGCCTCCGTGTTGCGGCCGCCTCCATCGCGAGTCCGTCACCGGTCGGCAACGAGCGGGCGCGCTGGCTGAGCGCAGACGTCGGCAGATTGACATCACAAAGAGCAAGAGCGCCTGTACCCCTATTGTCCGTGCGTCTCAGCACTGAGTCCTTTGCGGGCAGGAGTTATAGCCTCCGCGACCGGCCACTGGCCGTGATTTAATGACTCTAGTGCGCGACCGTCGCATGCAACGTTTTGATGTTGGAAATATTGGCGACGTACCAGGACGAACATTCGGTTGAATCTTATGAGATGAGGTATGCTGTAGATTGTCGTGACCTGACATGAACGACTCTTACTATAAGGATTGCCTTTTTGAAAGCAAACTGAGAACGAAGAGAGATTATCGGAACTGTACACGTGGCTCATATAACCATAAATGCTGTTTGATGGTTAGAAGCAATAACGAAGAACGTGGTTGCATGCGCCCAAGATGGGAGAGAACGTACTTTAACGATTAATTTGCATCCTCTGCTGACGCATATACAGTACGTTAAAAGAAAGAAAGAAAAGAAGATGGTTATGTTGAATATTTCGCACGTCACGTACGACACCAGAACGTCCCGTAATGGAAAGAAGCCCGGTGAGTACTTTGCCTTGTTTTGTCTGGTAGCTTCTTTCTGTTGCAACTCACACTGGGACCCACATACTTTGACCTGTGATTGATGAGTGGATTTTGCAGGCAGCGACGAGCCACGGCACAGCACAACGGAATCTTTTCCTTTTGAACTGAGGAAGGAATAAAACGGAGGAGAGAAACAAGCAAACGAACAAACAAACAAACAAACCATGCGTTCTATGTCTTATAGTGCTGGAAAATAGAGCTTTGCCGGTTGCGGTCTCGATTGACAAAAGCCCGCATAAATCCTTCGTATCTCTGTCGCTGTGCTGCTGTCGACATTATTTTAGACTTCGAAAACCATTAGAAATTTATTGAAGCACCCAAAACAATGCTCGATGTCACTGCGCTTGTGTGAATAAGACTTCTATTTTTAATATAGTATGAATAGAGATTTTAGAAAATGTTGTTTCCTAGATTGCGAATGGGAAATATTGATCTAAATCCCGCCCAATTGCCCAAACATTCCGCTACGTCGGCGTCTGTACGAAATTTCAACCTCCCCAGCCGTTCTGAAACGGGATTCGTTCGCTGTAGGTTGTAGCCCGTTAGGTTGACGCAAAGCTCTAACTTCCAGTTTTCAGCCAGAGGGAAAGATTCCGTTTGCTGTAAGGTGAGCGCCCGGGAATTTGCGCGCCGCCCGTTCAAAATTCGCGAGGTAGCGCGTCCGCGTGGCTCCCCCGCGCGGCCTGCTGCCCCTCACGACGGTCCTTGTGTGGCTCCCACTGTGCTGCTGCGCGGCGCCGCTCGGCGCTCCTAACGGGCTCAACCGACCTCCGCTCCGGTGGCGCTAGCACCTCTGGGCGTTTCGGCGAGAAATGGCGCGTGCGGTCGCATTGCCTGCAGGGTCGGTTGAAGAGAATAGCTATTTTTGTCGTTTGTGAAAGAGAGATGTTAAGAGTTTAAATTCGCAATTTCTGGCTCGTCGGTATGTGGGTTGGGACGGTGCTGCCAGTTTTATTATTTTCGAGATGGCCAGGGCGGTGATTTCATCCGTAATTGCTCTTCGCCGAAATAGTTTCTCCTTTTACAATTAATTTCCGTATCGATAAGACGATATATGCCTTGTGTTTTACGTGATCAGTGTCTCATATAATTAATTGCTGAAAGATTAAACGATAAAGATTTCTGTGAACGCAGTTCGTGGACATTTCCCTTGAGAAAGATACATTTTGACAAACAAACTCTGATTGTGCGGCGGTCATAAACAATCTGAGTTCGCGAGTGCCATTATTGCAGTTCTCCGCCGAGCCATTCCGGTCCGCATCTGTGTGACAGTCGCTTGACGGCGTCAGTCACCAGCGATGTCCGGCAGTTTTCTTTGCTTTTCACCGCACTGGGCTTTTGTGATCGGCTCAAAGGCAGTTGTCAAGCTGCGTTAGCGGGGGAAGAAGCCGCAGCCACCGCCGCCGCCGCCGTTAGCCCGCGCGAAGGGGCTGGCAAACAGATGCGCCGTCATTGGTAGCTCAACCGCCGGAGCGCGCGCGCCGCGCCGTCGCGGTCGCGGGGCGCTGCGGGCGAGGCGAGCGGGATATTTCTCTCCAAAGATACGCCGTCCGAACGCACGCCGCCTTCAGTCGACCAGCCGAACCCCCGAAACAACGTAGCTCGCCCCGCCGCTGCTTTTCAATCCGCTCACTAATTTTAACTTCTCGCTACCCGCTCTTCTATCGCACTCCTGATCATGTACTCTGAAGTGCTGGTTTGTTGTCCCGATATTTTTTTTAATCTTTTTCATTCCAAAATCACCATCGCATTTTTGTCTTCATTCCATCGTCCCGTTAATAACTAGACACTAAAAATATTCTTACGTCCGTCACAAGTTAAACTCAGAACCTTCCGCTGAACAGAGTCGTATCACTCAGTACACTGATACTATTCGTCCCCCGTCCACTTTTCTTTCCCTTGTTGACTTTTGTCACAGAAGCCCTCGCGGACCTTAGATCCCTTTTTAGCTTCGCGAGCCTTTGTGTGTGGCGGGCAGCCAGCGGCCTGTGGCTAAGCTTTGCGCCAGGTAGCTAGCCTTTCGCGAAACAACGCCCTCGCGACCGTCCTCGACGCTGTGTTGTTGACGGTGGGGCCCGAATCCCACCGGCGCATGCAGCGCACCAACTTAGTGTATCCTGGAAAATTATGAACGCACAGAAAGTTGCTCAGAGGTGACAGAGAGTAGGCAGCACCGAATGTGCGGCATTAAAAATGAAAAATCCATATTATTGTCAACTGAAATTCTCAACATATTTGTTAATTTGTTTTCAAATGAAAAAATGCAATGTTCATAATAAATAAGTTGAATTAACGAATAAAAACTTAAATATTCTGATTTAGTTTAGTCACTTGTACTTTAACAACAAGGCCCTCGTCGGCTTATGGAAGAAGCGGATCCTTTCAATTCGAAAAAATATTTCCCACTCGCCAGTAAAAGCACAGTCCATTTGATACGGGTTTTTGCTCGTGTAAAATAATAGATAACTAAAAATTTGACCTAACAAAGTTGTGCCAAATGGACGTGGTGGGTTTCTCTGTGCTTCCTTAATATGCTACCAAGAAATTTGAACATGTTTTTTTTTATTTGCAGGGAGCAAAGAAGCTGTGTCCACAATGCAACATGATCACCTCGCCGTCGGATTTGAGGCGAATTTATATGTGACGACAAGAAGAGATGGGTTGAAATAAAATCAGTGCGCGAAGAAGCAGAAGAATTAAAGATTGCTTTCCCATCCCCGACTCAAGCTTTGGACTTCGTTGTTCTCTTGAATGTAGCTGAAACCGCAGACTTGCCATCGTGGACTTCTGTCGCAGCGGACGAGTTCGGAAAGACTAAATGGTGCGCGCCCAGTTTCTGAACTAACGCTCCGCAGAGAACAGCAAGACGCTTTCTGTTGGTTCGGAACCTCAAATGCTTCATCAAGTACAGAATCTGCGGTGACTCCGTATCACTAAATATCGTATTGCATAGACACTATCCATGTATATGTATATGTCTGCACGAATAATTTACACGCATTCATCGTGCGTAATCTAAAGCGTTTCGCGTCGTTATCCTTCGGCTCTAATTTATTCGTTAAAAGATTGGATCATGAAAAAGTGGAGCGCCGAGTCTGTGGTATGTGGCTTCGGGGTCTTCTACATGTTTACACGTTTACCGTCTATGTATGTGTGTGGATGTCGTCTCGCAGGCAGACAGAAGGAGAGCGGGGCGCGCGGCGAGAGACTCATCGCCTGGCTGCCGGCCGCCGCCCGTCCCAGCCCGCCCACCCGCCCGCGCCGACTCCTCGCATTTCATCGTGTTACCCTGAGTGTGTCACCTGAATGTTTTGTTTACCCTCGAAGGGCTTGCCTGTTCCACGCCAATGTCCTCACTGGTGTAGGAGCTCTTGTCCTGGAGCTTTCCTTTTAGGTAAAAGAGCTCTCGCCATTCCCGACGACTATGCGATTATTCCAAACTATTTCCGTTCCCTCATCCTGTATTCTTATCCGCGATTTCTTTTTCACCTGCCGTTTTCATTTATCATTGCACATACCGTTTCCCGTTCTCCTGTTAATAATCAATCCAACCTTTCCTCCTTCCCCGCTTTTGTGTATCCTTTTCTTTAAACATCTCCAGCTGTTCCTCCTCTTATCTTCGCCCATATTGTGACATCTTGTCTGCGCCCGTGCCGTCACTTCTCTTCCTTACCTCCAGTCATGACCAGTGTGTGTATACATGTGTATATATGTGTTGTTTCGCTCTCAGCGATTCGACATAAGGGCTTTGTTCCCTCTCACTATGCCACAATTGAATTTCGCGAGTAGATTTTTTTTAATTTTAAAGAGATAGCATGTATGATGAAGCACAATAGGTGTAAATGCGACAGTTTTCCGACGAGAGCCACGTCATTTACCCTCGTGTCCAAAAGGATGTATGTGAGAACGCGAGCATTATTCCTATTCCGCTTTGTTATGTTACAAAAATTCACATGACAAATCTTCCATGTACTTAATGCGCACCGAACGTGTGACGTATCTTATAACCACAAAGCAGTTAAGTTGTGTTCCCGATCATTCCTTCTATCATGTTCTCTCTATCTCTCTTTGACTCGTCTTATCTCTCATAATCTGTTTGTTCCCACCCATTATCTTCTTACACATATTTGTTTCAATGTAGATGCCGCATGTCATTTCATGTGATGACAGATGCATCAAATCCGCCTCTTAATAGCTTATAATGTATTATTGTGTGTTTGCAGTTATCAAAGAAACATTAGGCATTGTTCTTTTGTTCCTGTATTCAAATAAAGGTGACTAAATGACCATCGAGTTTTATTTGAGTATTCTCCATTTCCTCAGGCACCGCTTTGACCTTCACCTGGATTAGGAAGCTTCCTTCCCGCCGTCATTGTTCCCCTGTGTTGAGTCTCCCTCGCCATCCCTTCGACGGGTGTCGTTTAGAAATCGCTTAATTAAGCCGCACAATGCCGGCATAGCCCTTAGCCTGCGTAATAGAATTTAACGGATGAATCGGGATTCGTTTAGGTTTCGTTGTCGGAAGCCTCAGCAGGAGGCGCCTCTCCCGGGGCCGTTGGCGCAGGAGGAGATGCGTATCGGCCACGGCGGCGGAGAAGGAGGAATTGCTAGCAGATTGGAGGAGCTGCGCCGACTTTTCTCAATGGCGCGAGCATCTTGCGTTTTCCTCCGGTTAAAAGAAGGCCGCTACGTAGAGGGAGCGATTCTACGGAAGGGGCGTCGTCAGGGCAATCGCGAAACGGCCTACTCAAAATTTCATGAATAAAGAACGAAAGCGGTATTAATATTGTTTGCAATGTTTTCCAAGCGACGGTCTTCCCAATCGTATTGAGACGAACAACATGCTACCCGCTCAAATTTCATAATTGAATTACGTATGTTTAAATACACTGTGTAATTATCTAGTTGTTCCCGTAATACATGATCATTCTATTGTATAGATATTTCATATTTAACTCGTACGTATTTGAGAGACACGACAGAGTTATAAATTAAAGTCACTGCTAAAATGCAATCGGGTTAAACTATAAAGAGACTGTCCGAACTTTCATTAAAATCGAATTAGCATTATTTACATATGCTTGGACCGTTGTAATGAATATGGACGCTCGTCATGACAGGAATGCAAACAACTAAACCAATCGGGCGTAGGAGTTGCATGGCGGAATGTGAAAGCTCGCGCTATTTGCGCGGCGTAGGGCGCGGTCCCGCGGGCGCTGGCCACCCCAGGCGCCCTCTGCCCTTGGAAGCAGCGAGGGAGCAGGGCGACCTGCCGCGACCCCGGAAGTAGCTTGGGGCGCCGCTTTGTGGCGTGCGGGAAGACCCGAAGACCGCAAGTGAGATCGCCTCTTTGTGCACGCGCAGATGCTCCTGGCGCGGGGGGGGGGGTCCTAGAGAACGTTCGTTTGTTTCCGTGAATCGGAGAATGCACGAATGTCACGTAGGTGCGATTTGGAGGAAGTCTACACAGGTATGTGGTGGTCACTACACGGGAAACCGTAATTCTTAAAATATATGCTTTGTTTCCAAGTGATGTATTCGTTAGACGTGAAGTTTAAAGAATATTAAGGACTCATTTTAACTTTTATTAGTATTATATTTGCCGGTTTTACAAAACATTTCAGTGAGGAGAGAGAAAAATGTGCACGAAAATTTTTAATTTTTTTTATTAAAAATTTCATGGTGTATTGATTGTATACAATGGGTGTGTTTAGATAAAGCACCGAGAAAACTGATTGAAAATATTGCTGAGAAAGTTGACCCTATGTCTCAGAAAGACTTGTTTTGTAACTTAGAAGAGAGCTAACCGAGAATCAAGACACGGGGATTTACGAGGAATCGTTACAAAACAACGGAACTCGTTTCATTAATCCAGGAAGAGTATCCTAGAAAAGGGCTCTCGCCCGAGACGACTGCGTCCCCCTCCTGCCCCACCGCCTTCTGGAGCAGTGCTTCGCGCGTTCCCTACTTAATTTGCATTTCTCGCCCGTCAGCCCGCGTCCGGTCCCCTTAATTGGGGAAGCGACGCCGAGCGTCGGAGCTGCGTCGCCTGTGCGCCAGACGCAGGCTGGGCGCGGACGCCGCGAGAAAGAATTTGCGAGGGCGACTCGCGTGTGAAAGAGCCGATATCGATTCGCTGGGTTTCGCGCCGGACGGCTCAGGAGATTTCCAAGCTCGAGGGTAGTGGGATTGAATCGCTAGACATTACTTGCATATTTAGGCGGTGGCTTAGGCTAAGGAGGGCGGGGCACGCTCAATCTCAGAAAAATGGGGGAGGATGGGAGAGCAGCTGCTCCGCTCCGGGTGGTGTGTCATGGTGGTTTCTTGGGCGTGCGGCGGGGTGAGAAAAGAGCGGGCGTGGAGCGCCCGCCGGGCAGGGGCGGCGCTTTGCGCAAGGCGCCTCGGCGCACGCGGCGCGAGCCACATTTGTCGCGCCGACGCAACAAGGACGGCGGCCGCGTAATTGACAAGGCTCTTGACTCGCAACCCCGCGGGAAGGGGTCAGCGCGGGCGGGGTGGGCCGGCGCCCGCGCCAGGGCCGTAGCACGGCCTGCGCCGCGCGCGCGTCCGCGCGCGCCGGGCTCGCCCGCTCGAGAACGGACGACCGCGGCGTGTGGGACGCCGGGCTCTCATGCGCCGCGGCCCGTTGGCGCCCCCGTATTGAGCGCCCGGCGTCGCAGGCCGCGCCTTCTGTCGCCCTGCGTCTTAGCGCCGCAGACGTCTCGGGCAGCCTGGCGCGCGCGCGTGGCAGCTCGTTCACACCCCGCCACGCGCCGCGACCGCGCCCCCACTCGCCCTCACCCCTCACCCTTCACCCCGTTCCGCCCCACTTCTCGCGCGCTCTCGTTCTTTTGCTCTTTCTCGCTTACCTCTGGACCCCGGCGACCGCTTGCCGCCGCCTGCGAAAGAATTCTCGTAAATGATCTTAGTTACTGGCACACTGCAGTGGAACGTATGGCAGTGGGCGTCGTCGTAACGATGTTTTCCCGGAGCTTCTGGGAAAGAATCAGGTGATGAGCGAGCTCCCTCGCGGCCTTACAAAACCCCTCGCCGCCCATTTCTCTGCGACGGAGTGCGGCGTGGCGCCACCTGCTAGCCCCAAGATGGGTGGTTCCTCCCAGCCGCGCCCTAGTTCGCTCGAGCGGATGCAAGGCTAATATGCTGCTGGCGTCCCCCTCTTCGCAGTGTAGTACCGACCTTTTGCCTCTAGCGAAACTCAAACAGTGTTAACACTGCGTTCACTTGCGCAACGCCTGGAGGCACAGAGGCTTAGGACAGGCAGCCAGCATTGATGTGAAAGACATGCCTTGTTTCTGATTATGGGTATAATGAATTCTGCTTTCCATCCCTGTTGGGTGCGCTTCGTTTTACAAAGTATACATTTTGATTAAAAGCGTCATTAGCGAGCTGCACAAGGAAATGGAAAATTTGCCGCTCACATTTGAATGAAACTGTGAGAAGATTTTATATTCACTAACATTCATATCGGCAAATTGATGTTTTCCGTAATAATGACAGGATGCTTCAGGTTTACATGTCCCTGAGAAAGAGATTTACATCTACAGAGGAAATGCGCATGCAACGTTACTTGCGAAGAAGATTAAATCTTGAAATTTTTTTAATTTGAAAAATAATGCCCTAGTTTGTCTTTATATGACGCCGATCCAGCAAGAAGAATGACTTGGCCATAAATATAATACTTTTCTTCCGAAATTAATTAAAATTAAGTTTATTAAACGAAACCTAATTTATAATTTCTTCATGGCAATGATAAGGAAGTAGTAATAAACAATTGTCTCTTGTCATTTGTCTCTTGAAACGTAAGAAAATGTCTATCTATCGTTAAATGTCATATAAACCGTGTCTTGAATGACTGGTCGTGTCAGGTTTATTTTAAATCCTTCCGATATTTTCAAAATCTTGTTGCATGTGCGTGAAATTACATATTGCAAACACTGTGGACAGTGGATCACTCGGACATTAACAATATTTGATTTTAATTAGAAATCAATTCAAATCGTCGGTTTAAAAAACGCATTCTGATGCGTATATTACGTGTTATTTTAGCCATTTGAAGAGTATTATAGCAAAGTAAAAGTATACCGAGAGTTCCTCAGCTGTAAGTGAAAGTGTATATGACTTTTTTGCCCAAGTGGGCGAAAATAGTGACAAATAGTGAATGAAATTTGAGGAATAATAATATGATATATATCACTCATAGATTTCATACAAATACAACAATTTGCTTCAAGAAATAGGGAAAATACTCACAATGATTCAATACCACGAAGAAGACAAATATTATTTTTTTCCTCATAATGGATATCTTAGGTAATTCAAATACAGAATATTTTTAATATAATATGATTTACTTCGTGTAGTAATACAGGATATAGAGTTCAGTATAAAATAGCTGGCTTTAAGTCGCTCACATAAAATTAATCGCATCGTCATAAGAGCCACATATATTGACTAGTTTCTCGCATCTTTTCACCCTGAATCCACCGCACATTTATTGAACCTTGGCATATGGATATTGTGCAAGTCTTTTCTCATTTAAACTTAACATACTGGAATTTTGAATTTCATAAATTAATAACGCATGTTTACTACATTATATTACAAACGAATCCTAAAATGTGTTCTATTTTCAAAAATTGAATGAACATTTCCATTCAATATTCAATTAGCGCCCTCGTATGTATACTATAAGAAACTTCGTTATCGCTCACTTTTGCTGGAATCATTATAGCCCTAGTCGTATCATGAACTTATTATATAACTTATTTTCGAAGACTACGAAGTACTACGTTTGAAACAGAGTGTAACATTTCTGCCTTAATCAAAACGTTTATGTAAAAGAACCACAAAAATAAATGCAACTGCCCAGCCAAGGCCTCCTGATATATAATTACTCATGAAGATGAAATTATTCACTCTGATGAAGAAAAAGATATTCACTATGACGAAACCATAAATATCGTGATTCATAATCAAGTGCTTGTTTATTCCATGAACTTTATTTTGTTTGCCTTAGCCAGTCGACTTCAAGAAAATAAAACTCAAACTCTCGTTCATGCCAAAAGCAAAACTTACGCATTAAAACTAATGACTTGCAGCAGCAAAAATGCTTCTGAACAAAACCACAAAAAAAGGTTTTCTAAAATGCATCACGCACTCTGTTCTAGAACAAATAAAAAACAATTTTTATAAAACTAAAATAAATGAAATATTTCAACAAAAAGTTTTCGCAAACACAGCAATAACATAGTATAGTATACGAATACAC